ACCAAATAATATAAAACAAAAAAAAAAACTAAATATTTAGTAAATATTTCTACTTGTCTTGCCGAGAAATATGTATGTGTAGTCTGATAATATTTCTACTTGTCTTGCCGAAAAATATGAATGTGTAGTCTGATAATATTTCTACTTGTCTTGCCGAGAAATATGTATGTGTAGTCTGATAATATTTCTACTTGTCTTGCCAAGAAATATGTATGTGTAGTCTGATAATATTTCTCTTTGCCTTATTAAATTACATACAATTCATGTCGTCAAAATTTTGGTTTTTATATTTTAATGTTTCAGAATTATAGTTTTCCAAATGTGCAATAAAAGTGAATCAATAGCTACAACGTAAACCCCTATGTTTTTTTGGTTATTTTTCACAGTTTTTGTTTCAGAAACATGTCTGCCCACTTGCATTAGAAAGCTAGAAATTTATGTAAAAAATTATAAAAATGGCAAAATTATTTTCGTTTTATGTGACACCATAAGTGTGCATGACATAAGGTTCAGTGTAACTAATGAGCAAAGGAACTATTCTTAACTGACTGAATATGTAAACTTTTTGGGTGTTGTATCATCAAATATTTCTCTGTACTACACTTTAAGAACAGGGAATGAAATGATGAAAACAACTACTTTCAGGAAAAGTATATGAATGCATAGAACATAAAAAAATAACAGCAAGTACAGGACCAAATATTGTTATATATTTTACTGACATAAGACAATTTTATACAGATAACTTAATGTACAGCTCAGCCCTTGAAAACAGCATTCCTAAAATATTATATTAGTTATTACTAATACAAATAAGCTTTGAAACATTTTAATGGAATATGGTGGGTGGGGTGACAATGAAGGTTGTTTTTCTTTTGGTTTTTTTCAAACTTACCATAACAGAATTATAAAAACAATACACACTTAATCTATTTATTATAATAATTTATCTGTTTGGATACAAAATAACAGGAAATGTCCAATCGGTTACAAAATTTGTAGTAATTAATATTCAAAAGCAAATAAACAATACCTTGGATATAATTTGAAGTATTATTAAGAATTACAGTTTTGC